TTTAATTTCTTTTGAACTGGAAAATATTTTATGATCATAAGTGTTGAATTGCTTACCGGAAGAAACTGAGTTTTTGAATATGTTGGTCTTTGGGTGAAGAGAATTATCAGAAGAACACGCTCTGCATCACAAAAAGACAATGAAAGCTTATGAGAATGGTTTAACTTCATTTTTAAACTATATATGCAGCTTTATTACCATGATTATGAAATGCACATAAACTCAATTATTTTCTTTGATTTTGTCATTAACATGAAACTAATTACAGTAATCAACAAGAAGTTATGGGGCCAGATTTTTGGGTATCTACAAGATTTTCGAAAAGGACAAAAAAAAGAAGAAGATGAAACTATATCTTGTACATTACAAGCTAATTAAATGACAGAAATAACAACAAACTCAACGTACTGTCTTTTCTTTTTTTTTTCTCTTTCTTCCAGTCATGCATATGTATGGTCCATGCATGAGCAACTTTAGTCAACAGAAAGAAAATCTCAGAGGAAAAAACCAAATTAATACACCCAAATGGCCTGCTTTTAAGGGGTATTAAATAAAAATAATAAATGGTCTTTGCAGGAACATATTTGCATACCGAAGAACTTGACTCGTACTGTAGAGCTGAGTAATCGGCTCTTCTTGTTCCTTCTGCTTATTCAGAATCTATACGGCTTCACCCATTTCTGCGATGCAATCCAAAAACTCGAGTTTCAAGTCTACAGGATGTGAATATACTAGGGCTTGTTCTCAAATATGGCTCTAGCTACATGAATAAGCCAACTTCTCTGCTAGAAAATTGTGGAGGGTTTAACGTACGTAGACTCCTTCAAAGCTCACAGCACCACATTAAATAAGACTGTAAAAAAAAAGTTCAAAGCGCGTAACTTCCTATGTGAGGATGGATGCCAAGCTTTTGGTGTAATCTCTTTAAAAGCAATACATTTTTTTAACTGAATTTGAAAAAAGAAAAAGCTTTAACACGAAATAAGGTATTAGATGAGCCCATCATTCTATTTCAGTGATTGGGGACTGTAAGTGCGGCCTTCAGCTTCTTTATGGCGTGGGTACATATATAAGCTTTGTGCTGTTAAACCAATTAAACCTCTATTAAGAAAAAATTTTCAATGTAGCCATTATAATTTATAACACGTCAACAATGTCATTTGATGTAACCATATACTAATAAGTAAACAAGTCATCAGCAACTGAGCTCCACAAAAACTCATAACCACCTACCCATGTAATACATAATTACTTCTAGAGTAATACTGTTTGAACCTAAAAATTTGACCTAATTTACTGACATAATGATGTGGCTTCAGTAGAACTATTGGATTAACACCAAGTTCCAATGTTTGATGGGTTCCACAGTTAATCCAAAGGTCATAATGAATTAGGTCAGTAAATTAGGTCCCAATAGCATTGCTCTTATTTATGTGATAGAAAGTGAGCCCCATTTTATTCATTTTGTAGTTTTTTTATTAGATGTTTATACCATTTCAACATTGCTAACATGGTATAAGGGTTAGACTCAATATTTACTCACTCTATTACCTAAGCTTTATGTTGTTTTCAGTCTTTCATTTTGGATTGTGCCTGTGGTGGCCTTTTGCTTGTTGAGTAGGTTACTTTGCTCTTGCATATTGTTGCTTAGCAATCTAGGTTTGGTGTACATTTTGATGAACTTACAAATGTTTAAGATATTGTACAATGTATTAGTATGAGTAATATTATTTGGACCTACAAAATTGAACTAATTTGTTAATCTAATGATGTGATAGTGACGTGGTCTAATAATGTTGTTGAGAGTATAACTCTTGAACTTCTTCATTGGAGGTCCATCACTTAACGCATCATTATGTCAGTAAATTATGTCAATTTTTTAGATTTCAATAACATTACTCTATTAGTGTTTAACGATTTAAAGGAAAACTGTATTTGGACCTATTTGAATGTAGTCATTGGATTGAAAATAGACTTCATCTAACTTTCGAACTCACAACTAATTCAATGCTTACATTGGATTAGGTTCTTAATTAGATCCTCAAATTAGATCTCTATAATATTACCTGGTTTAAATGATACAAAACTAGCATACCTATTCAGCCGGTACTCACAACTCTATCAAATGTTAATTACTCCAGCATTGCGTATGCAATGGAGGTTAGTGTTTATAAATATAAAGCAATATAAATGTGGAGGTGTGGAGGGTATTTGGCTTCCCTGTCTCTATGTGGGCATGTATATTATGATTGAAGATTCTTAGCACAATTCTCAATTCAAACTAACACAAAATTGTTACAAATAAATTTACGTTAAATGGGTTTGAATCATAACAAAGATGATATGCTAAAATCCTTAGAAACTTGGAGAATATGAATCTAATTAATAATTGTATACAAATATGACACAATACAAACTTGTCCATATATATTATGTAGTAGAGATTAAAAGAGGCTGACACACGTATCTATGTTAGTGTACTAGAATGGATAAATAGGATATAATTAAGGATGAGATGAAAAAACTCGAGTTGCCTATTAATGAAAGGACCAACCAAATGCTATCACCAGCCAATATGTCTATCTCAGACCAAATAAAAATGTGTATTGCAGGGGCAATTGATGGAGGTATTTATAGTACAATACTCAGGACAGGCCATAGACCTGCCCACCCCTTCCTTTGTACGAGGGTCAGTGTTGTATTGACACATGTACCTATTTGCAACTGTCTCGACTGCACCGATATTGGTGTTTGCTCATTGTGAGTCATGTGTCACAGTATTAATTAGGCAGATGTGAAGTTTCTTTAGACACAACCCAGACACGGTCATTGAGGAGGGGTGCGACATCGAGGTTGTTAGAATAGTTATTATATTTAGACTTAGAGATAGTTTAGTCATTTGTTTTGCTTTATGTTGCCTTAGCTTAGTTTACTATATAAAGACCTCTTATAAGTAGTTTTCCTATAAGCTTTGTTCTAGCTAATTATGCCTCAATAATATTTTCTTCTTTCTTCCTCTTACTTTTCTTTGATTGATCAAAGTTAACATGGTATCAAAGTATAGTTTCGATCCAAAATATATATTGTAGTACCACAGTAATTTAGTTGGAGAAAGAATATATTCTTGGGTTGTGTGATTTGAGGGCTAGTAATTGGTGGATTGCTATTTTTTTGTGATTCCAAGGGTTGTGAATAGTGCTGAAAACACTGTTCATTGGATGAACAGTGCCGAAAGTATTGTTCACGCGCTGTGAACAGTACCGACGTTATTATTCATGCCGTGAACAGTGTCAAATTTCGATTTTTAGTGCCTTTTTGGTGTTTTGCTGCCTCTGTTTGTCTTCTAGACTTTTAAAAGTTATGGAATTTGGGTTTTCTAGTTGCTGGATTGCTGGTTTTATTTATTGGTTCGAGATGCTTGTATTAAGGCCTATTGAGCGTCTGTTTTTTCGTTGGTTTATGGTTTGTGAAGTGGGTAGGTTGGAATCTGCTATTTGAATTGCTATTTTTGTTGATTTGCTGCTGCCTCTTCTCTTCTTCTAGTTGCTAGTCTGGTTGTTTCTTCTTCATTTCCTGCTGTTGCTTTGGGCTTTTGGTATGGTTTGTTGATTGGTTGGTTTTGTGCATTGATGAGTTGTTACATTGCTAGTTTTTGATTTGTTCGTTTGGGCTTGCTATTTGACATAGCGTTGTATTGTTTCGCACTGAATAAGCAGAAACTTTTGTTTCCATTTGCATTGTTTCACATTGAATAAACAGAAAACCTTTGTTTTCATTTGCATTGTTTCGCACTGAATAAGCAGGAAACTTTTGTTTCCACTTTTGATTGGTGGGTTTGAGCCTTTGGGGCTGATTTTGTGAACAAACTGCTAGGGGAGTATTTGATTTACAAAGTTGTTAAGTTGATTTGTGGCGAACTTTAGACTGTTTGGCGTTGGCTACTTCTTTTGGTTCAAGTTTCTAATTTTGACTTCTGCTGTTTTGAGACTAGTTCTGGTTTGTTTGTTTTTTTTTTCTTTATTAGGATTAGTTTTGTTAAGCATTGTTGCTGGTGATTTTTGTTGAGCTTTGATTTTCTGTTGGACCTCTCATTGCTATTTGATTGTCTCTTAAACTTTGTGCTTACTCTGATGCGGATTGGACTGGTGACTCTATGGATTGCAAGTCCGCTACTGATTTCTATCTCTTCATTGGTGATTGTCTTATTTCGTGAAAAAGTAAGAAAGAAACTGTTGTGGCTCAATCATCTGCTGAAGCTGAGTATCATGCTATGACCTTCATAACAGCAGAGATAGTTTGATTGTATTGACTACTTGCTGATCGTTTCTTTACGAAATCTCACACCATCGCACGCTTTCATTTTCTTCTTAGCAAACTCTTGATGTTTAATGTTATCACATCATGAGTTTGAGGGAGGGTGTTAGAATAGTTATTATATTTAGACTTAGGGGTAGTTTAGTCATTTAATTTCTTTTATGTTGCCCTAGTTTAGTTTACTCTATAAAGACCTCTTATAAGTAGTTTTCCTTTAAGTTTTGTTCTGGCTAATTGTGCCTCAATAATATTCTCTTCTTTCTTCATCTTACTTTTCTTTGATTGAACAAAGTTAACAGAGGTAAGGGGGCCTATCGAGGCCATGTGCTGCTACTGGTCACCGTGGGATCATGACCGCGGGAGGATCATGTCTGCAGTGCCTCCAGCCCAAATTTACCCTCGGGGGTCGTCTTTTCCCTCTCTGAACCTTTTATCGAGGTGCCCAATAAAGAGACTCGCATAGTTTCAATCTTTTAGCCATCAATCCACGTGTCTCATCATCTCATATGCTGATGTGAACTATTAACACCTAGTGTTTTAGGAGTCTCTATACATCACAATCAAGCACAGCCTAACGGGGTAATAAGTCATATACCGGGAGGCCAACACAAGACCTTGTCTGAGGCCAAGGGTGGCAATCATGCTCCTCCACCTCCGTTGCTCAATTCTCTTTCAGGAGGGTCAAACTATCCTATCCCTAGTTGGGGACCTCTCCTCTTAGTCCATTGGGTCAATCGAGCAACGGTATACCATTGGTTAACTTTATCATGATGCACATCCAATGAGTTCCAAGTTCCCACTAGCGGTTCCAATCCGAGGGTACCCTTCATGGATAAGTTGGGGATACAAACTCTATCAGCTATGAGATCCCAGCTTTTTAGCTTATTTCCCCACCCCTCCTCTTTGAGGATAGGAAAGAGAGTCACACCAAGTTGTCCCCAAACTTTCGCTGTGTCACTCTCGTTCTTTCTTAGACAAGGGTCTATTTTGTCACTTCTAATGTAATGAGGATGTACCTCGCCCTTCTGCAGTGCTTGGTGTTTCCCACGGCACATGGTGCCTGCCGCGACAGCTGATGCCTCCGGCGGCACTGTTGCCTGCACCAAATTCTGCATGACTCTATTGGGCCTCACTGCCATGTCAGATGATGACTCCTATCACTGGTTCTTCCATAGTGTGAACATGTGTCATGAATTTATTGGGTACCATAAACTGTAAATGAGTTGGGTACATATAGATTAAACAAATTTTAACACTAACTCACTCCATTGCCCTCGTACATACGCACATCTGGGTAACATCTTTATAATAGAACTCTGTGGAATACTTGAAGAAGCAAAACATGAAAACTGATAGAATTTATTTGATAAGAGAACTAATATATTCAAAGATCTGATGATATATGTATAGCTAACAGAGGCAATGATACTGTAGTTAAGTACCATGGCAAATATAATATATGGAGCGAGACACCTCAATATATATATTTTTTAAATTTTCTTTTCGACAGAACACCTAATGCTATTTACTGGTAGCTATTTTTTAAATTTTCTTTTCACATTTTTCTTTTGACTTTCTTAATAGCTATTTACTGGTAGTCAAGCTCTATCTGCTCTTTCGGTTTTGAATGTATCTATCCTCAAAATTTTCAAAGTCAAGTTTGCAATCAATTTTCTTATGGCAAACACCCCCATTATAACTTCTATAATGCACAACTGCAATTATGAACTTTATTATTTTTGCCCTACCATGATAAACTCTACCTTTTTTTCATGACCCAAAAAAAAAACAGGATGTTTCCTCTCCCAAATGAACCGACGTGATCTGCCAGGATATGCATGTGTCTTCCCTTAACAGGATGTGAATTTTATTTGTTAATCTAATTCTATTGAATTGACATTGAGCCATAAGAATATTGAAATTTATTGTCAGTCCTAGATCAACAAATTAGATCAGTAAAATTAAGTCCAAATAACATTGCTTATTTTCAACAATCCACTTATTTACCACCTATTCTTCTACATATATGTTCAATTAATAATATTTTTTCGTATCATATCTCATCTTTTAATCAAATAAAGACTTGTCACACATAGTATTTTTTATTTTGTTATTTTACTTTGTTTTGCTTTTTTTCTAATTAATGGCTACTAAAATATTAATTTAAGATTTATGAATATTAATTACCTTGGGTATGGTATTGAAGATTTTTTCTTTTGTAGCATTTCGTTATCCTATTCATTNCTTGGGTATGGTATTGAAGATTTTTTCTTTTGTAGCATTTCGTTATCCTGTTCATTGAAAGATCAACCATGCCATAAAAATTATAATAACTTGACTTACAAAGCAATGTGGAAAGTTGAGGGTGGAGATACCAATTTGAATCCGGTCCAAGGGAGAAAAAGATAAAACAAAATTAACATGTAACTACGCCTCAATTCACCTTTCTTCCCCGTTTCGTAGCCGCCCCTTGGTGGGGAAGAGGAAGAGAAAAAAGGACTGAAGTTGGAACCCCCAATCACTTGTGATTTTTTTTACAATTTTTCTTTTCTTTTTTACAATTCTTTGAGGATAGGCATGAGTTAAATCTTGAATGTAGTCGCCTAATTAACTAGTTTGCTATCAAACGATGGGGGTAAGTGAGTAATTAGATGTGTTTAGAGCCTTTGATTCCCTCCATTGTAAACAAATCTATCCCGGGGTGTAAAGAACCCCCTCTCTTACTCATATACTCTTAATTGCATTAACAATTAGTTGGTAGTGTCTTAGTTACAAACTAAAAATGATGTTGCGACAGCACACTTGTTAATGTGCTTCCCTATTGATAGTTGAACAAAATTACAAGTTTCAATTGATAGGTTTCCTTCTCACAATCAATTAGAGGCCAAAGAGAGTTAGGGAAGGCTAAACTGTGAAATGTTAAGATACTGAACACATGGTATAATCCAACGACTAGAGTTGAGTCAGAGGTGGTTCAAGATGATAAGGCAGTTATAAGAAAAGATCTCCAAAGATCTTGAAAAATGGAGAGTCGTGTCAGGACGTGACATCGTGAAGTCGTTGGTTATAGATAGTTTAGGTCACGTTCATAGCCGTTAGGAGGAGAGTGATGAGTACTGACGGGACTTTAGACGGCTCTGCAGCCCCCAGATCAACTCATGTAAAGATGTAACCGTTATGGAACTCAAAAGGCGCCGAAATGTGGCGACGAAGAGTAATGACTCAGAGGAGCCAAGAACACATACTGACACCAACATTTAAGAAGACTTGACAGTTCATTAATGAATACCTGACTCAAACCGACAGCTCATTAATGAGTGACTATGACAGCTCATTAATGAGTGACTGTGACAGGGCTACTACTGAGTCCTTGCATCCTCGAGACCCAAACCGACAGTCATGATTATAAAGCATTAATAGCTATTGTACCGAGCATATCTCCTCGGCGTACCTTGAGATACTGTTCCCCAGACATTGAACGCTCGGGAGTATGGGTCAAGCGCCGATTAGATGGACTTGAATGACCAGGGGTAGGGTCATAAGTGCTCGGCATGCCCCGAGCAATCAGCCTATCACTCGAGCAAAACCAACCTTGAGAATCTGAGTGGAGAACACTCATTACGCATAGGTAAGAGTGCAAGTCATTAAATGTTGAGATTGGACTCCAAGTTTTTGCACTCGTTACTAATCTAAGTATAAATACTCCTCTTAAAAATGAGCAAAGGTACGCAAACTAAACTGAGAAAAAAGAAACACTGCGCTAAAGCCTCCAAACTTCTATTAACTTGAGCTTCGGAGGGGATAACTCGGGTGTTCACCCAACCCCTTTTCTGACCTTGTGGTTATTTTAGGTTCACCATTAAAAGGATTGCTATCCGTATTTATTGCAGGAATTCTCTCGTGCAAGTACATACTAAGTGGTCGAAAAAGATGGCTCGAACGGTTAGGAGTCGCTATCTATATATACAGAGGCACAGGCTATTGAAAGGAGATCACTCGCTCAACACTCCTCCAAACTGCATCCCAGACCCATTCTCCACTGTTTAGTTTCTTGCATTTTTATTATTCTATAATTCCGTCGCCACTTCAATGACTTTTCTTAGTTTATTTCAAGCACATTAGTCAATACAATAGTTCTTTCTTTTTATACCCATTGTTGTTCATTTCAATTCCATTTCATCTTTGTTCTCTTAGTTTGTTAGCCTATTTCGAAAAGATAAATTTAAGTCCATAATCTCCAAGGCAAAAAAAGAATCTAGAGATAGTTTTACGTTCTGCTTCAATTGTCTGAACAATCATGATTTAAGCACCTCGTGCCAATTCGATTAGGTATGGTCCTCGTGTTCAGAATTCATAAGCCCATTGAAACTTTGACACGCATGCAATTCAAAATACATCAAACTCCCCCAAAAGTTCCTTAATGACTTTGTATGGCAAAAACTTAGCATTTTTCATTTTAAACTTTGACGAATACTATAGCAAGAGAATTTTCCAACTAAAGATCGATCTCAAAATCAAAAGATACGGTAGTAAAAGTGAATAAACAAATTGTAATCCAAGAACATGGTATTCTTCTTTTTTGACGAAAAAGTGTATGAACACACCCTTATTAATGAAATTAAATAGAGATGGAAGATGCCAGAGAATGAACATGCTGAGAAATTAAAAGATGATACCTACCTTGTCAAGGAAACCAGGGGCAAAAGTATGCGTATCAAGACTTTCAGCTATGGGTGTTGTCCACTTTTCTAAAAACCCTTGAATCCGCGCGCCGCCCATGAGATGGAGAATAAAAGATTTCCTGGATAAGAATATATAGGTAAGTAGATATGAAGAATAATAATAAGAAAGATGAATGAGTATGTGATAGAAAACGAACAAATTGTTGCTTTTTAACCCAAATGTGGATTCCACTTTTAAGTAAAAGGAGAGCAAATTTCTCACTCAAGTTTACGCGAAAACATAAAGGACTTTACGCGTAAAAAACAGTCATATAAACAAACAGTGACCATTGGTAATGGACGGTGTAGTTTTTTTTTGTATTATGATGTAATCCAATTCAAAATAAATTAATATTAATGAGTAAAATATCTTTTACACGCTTGAGAACTAGTTTAGGAGGGGTTACTAACAAGCACTTGCGACACCCACTTTCATGGAGAGACGTATAAAAAAGGAACCCGAACCCGAACCCGAACTTAAAATCATAAGATAAAATAAAGTGTACTTATGACATAAATAAAGAGAGAACCAAATATTAGTCAATAAACTTGAAATCGAGTACCACCCAAAACCTCCCGACTCGAATAAGATATTATATAATACTCAACTCAAAATCAATCGACACCGCAGAGCGAGAGACTCACACGGCGGATACGCGGAACAAACTCAATCGAACTTGCTTGCTGCGAAGGTGTGGTGTGAGATTGACGATTGTCTACAAAGTTTTGCAGTGTAGATAAAGCAAAGGCACAACTGGCCCATGCCTTTGATTGTCCACCTTATTATTCTTGGTGGTTGGGAAGTCGTATGGTCCATGCCAACAAGAACGAAAGTTTGAGGAAAGATCACGAAAGACTGAGGTCTCAAAAATTAGTTGTAGAAAAACTATATACCATGCATGCAAGCGTACGTCATACTACGTCATAGAATGATGTTATACAACATTTTCATATATATTCTAATGACCGCAGGTCACTGGCTTGTATGTAAAAAAAGACGAAATCAATTTAAGGTCAACTTATATATCAATCAAGAAAAAAAAAAGTAGTAGAATTGGATTGAACTCTTTGCCTTTTTTTTTTCCCTCTCGATCACGAGGCATACACCTAATTCCGCATTTTTTTTTTAATTCGTGATTGATACATATACTTGAGATGTACATAATTTTTCACAAATCATGTGTTTTGAATGGATAAAAATATCTATTGCGAGATTGAAATCTCGAAATATCAACTATAAAATTTATCATCCAAAATTAGCCCTACGAGTTGTCATTTTGAAGTTGGTGTACATATATTTTCCCAAAAGAATGTGCTAAAAACCCTTCACTAATCAAGCCGTGTAGGGAATAGATGTACATGGGATAGAAAACTATGGATGTTTACGGAGTACTTTATTGAGATCAAAATGAACTGAATTATCGGCATAATGATATGGCAACTGACATAGTTCAATAATATTATTATAACTGCAATTATCGAACGTCTGTATCACAGCCATATTACTTACATACGTCATCAGATTAATTATTAAGTCAGATTTTTAAGTCTTATTAAAAATAAGACCTATTGATGAGTCAGATCTAATTGGGCCAAATCCAATAAATCAAGAAAGTCCAGGTCCACTATGAAGGCAACCCAAGTCCGGTTCACCAACCCAATTCAGTCTAAGATCCAAGGAGTCCATGAAGAAAAGAGCACATGGAGAGAAATCATCGGGATGGATACACAAGAATTAATTGTAATTATCCTCTTCGAAGAATTAGTACTCTCACACTCAAGTCACTGCCTCACCATACCTATAAATTGTAAAAATAATTATAGATTTTAAGCATGGATTTATAACTAGAATTAAGAAAAATTGCTACTGAATTTTTGGCCAAATCAACAATTATTAGAATTATGATGTGAGCAAATAACTATGAGTTGTTGTAATCTGAAATTCGGAATAAATCATGCAAACAATAGTTAGA